CCGAGGGTCCGGTGCGGGGCCGGTGGGGCTTTCGGGAGGCGGTCGCCACAGCCCAGCTTCCTAAATGCGAGCTCGTCCCAGCCGTCTCACGGGCAGTGGTCTGAAGTCTTCGTGGGTTCTGTCACGTTTTCTCCCCTTCACTCTACTGCTGTGGGATGCGAAGCCTGCTTGATTTTTAAATGTTTTATATCTTTTATTTCCCCAAATAACTTCATTTTTCTTCAGTTTCGGAAGTGACAGGCCAGCAGCTCTTGCTTCACCTGTGGTTAACGGCAGAGATTGTTTCCTTTTGTGCTGCCTCTGTGAGTCTGTACTCTTGCCTCTAACCTACACATTGTGTTTTGCAAGCTTGAGAAGTCAACAGATTATATTAAGTCATTGGTGCAGCATAAATATTGCTAGAGGTGACTGCTTTAAGGCTCTTCCCCCAAACCTGGGCAAGCCCTAAGTATGCAGAGCTGTCAGATTGAGGCATCTTACCTTGGGGGCCCAGCTTAAAGCCTAACAGCAGCATGAGTAGATGCTGTCTGGCTCCTCATGCCACTAGAGCTTTCAGTGTTGAACTGATCCCAGCCTCCTGCAGAAGGAGCAGCTGATAAAGGACCTGGATTGCTCTCTGGATTTTCTTTTTGAGTTTTAGTTGGCATTCTCTGTGGTGGACAAAGAAATCTTCCTGCTACCCAATGAAAATCGATTTCTGTGAGGTGTGATTAGGATGAAAGAAGAGTTGCCAATGTCCACTGTTGCCACCTGGGGAACTCTTGGAGTGCTGTCAGCAGCTCTGGGGATCTGCTCCTCTGCTCTCCACAGCAGCTCTGCCATCAGCAGTACCACAAAGATGTTCTGCATACAGACTGAATTCAATTAAGCACAGACAGGACCAAAGAGGGACAAAACTGTATCAGAACAGGGCTAGGATTCGTTTTTTTTCCCCCTCAATGAATTGTTCATTTTCTGTATGTGTGTGGTTTAAAATCCAGGGACAAGCTTTAATCACTGGATGATGTTTTAAAATACTGTAGGATGAGGGAATAAGCTCTGATGGAATTGAAAGAGAGCAAAGCTGAGTCTGTGTTTCTGGAAGTTTAGAGTTTCAGTGACCTGCCCACCCTTTTGTTGGTTGCTTAGTAATGCCATAGTAATCTTTGAGGAAAGATGTTATGAGGATCCATCTCTGAAGACTTGAGAGAGAGTGTAGATGTTTTGGAAACAGAAGGTTGTGTGAATACCTCCACAGAGTGAAACTGAAGTGTAGTTTAAAACTGTATCAGAACAGGGCTAGGATTTGGTTTTTTCCCCCTCAGTGAATTGTGCATTTTCTGCATGTGTGTGGTTTAAAATCCAGTGACAAGCTTTAATCTCTGGATGATGTTTTAAAATACTGTAGGATGAGGGAATAAGCTCTGATGGGATTGAAAGAAAGCAAAGCTGAGTCTGTGTTTCTGGAAGTTTTGAGTTTCAGTGACCTGCCCACCCTTTTGTTGGTTGTTTAGTAATGTCATAGTAATCTTTGAGGAAAGATGTTATGAGGATCCATCTCTGAAGACTTGAGAGAGAGTGTAGATGTTTTGGAAACAGAAGGTTGTGTGAATACCTCCACAGAGTGAAACTGAAGTGTAGTTTTGTGTCCTCAGGATGAGTTTTACCATTTTTCTGTTGAGAGCCAGAGTTTCATGAAGAAGCCACTGAAATAAATCCTAGCTTTCTGGGTATGTTTCCATGATGCCACTTATTTTATTCCCCATTTTTGCCTTCAATGTAAACTTGCTTTGCAATACCTGAAACTTCTGTGTGTGTGCTTACACATACATGTGTTTGTGACTTGAAGGGTGTCATTTTTAACTAAGTGCACTGTTACTGTAAACCTGTGCAGCTTATTTTCATAGCTTAGGGCACCAGAAGAGGTTTTAAAAGAGTTTATGCTATCTTAAAATTCTCCCAACCATATGAACTAGCAGTGTGGCCTGGATGGGATCATACCCTGTGCAGCCTCTTTAACCTAGTTTGTCCTGGAGACCTGGGAGAGGTCTGATTGATGGGTAGATTCCTACTGCCAGGCTGCTTATGGTTTTTCTCTGTAGTGAGAGATTCTCCTGTGAGAGGTGGACCTTGGGCTGGCCCGTTTGGAAGTCCCCAAGTGTCTCCAATCCTGCACAGATTGGGGCACCCCAGAGATGGGACATCTGCCAGTCCCAGCGTGCTGAGCTCACCTCTGGGCTGAAGTGCAGATCCTTTTTCACTGCTGCTGCTTCAGTTCCTCCTTTTATTAGATCACATGATTATATCACTGCCATTTGATAGTGCTGAATGGTTGCATCTGGTTTTGTTCTTGTAGAAAAAATACCTTTTTCTTTATTTGGCAGATATTTGGCTTGTAAGCTCATGAAGGTGACCATTGTTTGCCTCACCTGTAACTGTGTGCTAACTGTCATTCTTTTAACTTCTTTCCTCTGTGGACTTCTGTTTGTGCTGCAGCTGGATGGAGTTCATACGTTGCCATGAGTGACTGCTGCTTTTGTGTACTTCCCTAGCTGCCAAAGCCACCAGGAGCTGGTGATGGAGGCTTTGCTGGAAGGAATGCAAAGAAGTGGGCAGGGGAGGTATGTATGAAAGAGTATACACCAGTTACTCAAAGCCATTGAAGTATTAACCTTCCCTCTTACTCAGTCAGATCCTCTGGTATCAGACAAAGCTTCCCTTCCCTCAATAAGGGCTGTGGAGTTTGTCCACAAATACAGTGTTCAGTGACCTTCAGCTGAAGCATAATCACTGGCTGAGCTGGCTTTGCAATAATCCCCTCTCAGATATTATAGTATGAATTGTTAGAAATTTGGGTTTACATCTTCCTGAAAGCCTTACCTCTTTTCTGTTGTCCTTGTAGTAAACTCTTCTCACCATCTAACATCAGGAGTGTTAATAATTAAAGGTGTGAATAAGTTGTTGTTGTTGCAAGGTTAATGAGATGTGACTTTATTGAAAACAACTGATTATTTCCTGCTCATCTTGAAACTGCAGAGTCTCATTCACCTCTGAAGAATCCTTAGGGCTTGTCTTAGGTGAAAGAAAGACTTTTGGATCCCTGAGAGAGAGACTACAGTGCCAATAATGGGGGAAAAAAATGTTTGATGTGTTAAATGAACGTGAAGCAAAAGCCACTGATGCCATTTTCCTAATAATTTTTGAGAATGTGCCTGAAGTTTCCTGATGCCTCATCTTCTGCAGAGAACTGGTTGCAGAAATAAAGTTTAGGTTTAGCTTTATATTAGCAGAGGCTGTTGACAAAAATCTTCTTGTAATAGCTGCTAATTTTTAGTTAACTTGCAGGACAGGGTGAACTTGAAATTTAACCAATTTTGACTCTTTTAAGAAGTATTTTTTGCCCCATAGAAAAACTACCAGGTTGTGAAGTGTGTATATACCCTGAGAGCAGAGAGGAATTTCAATCCCTTAACCTATTGATTTCCATTTCTTTTCAGTCCTTGCTGTTTGACAGGCAAATTAAAGGGGTAAAGATCATCACAGAGTTCACTGCCCTCTAGGGCTGTGTCTTGCAAGCCTTAATATTGTCCCTAGCTTAGCAGGCCGTGAAGTTTTAGAGGAATTAGCTGAATTGGCTTCAGTAATTACTGCAGCAAATTAGGAATTGCAGTGTGGCTGGGGAGCGTGCTCTCCCCAGTGGATTGGGAATGTTTTATTCTTCATTAACATGTTGTCATCCAGCCCCCTCTGCCTAGGGCTTTGTTGACATCTGTGATAAACTTCTGTTTCCAGGAGCTGATAGCCTGGCTTTAAGATTTCTCTGGTGACTGAAACTTGGTATAAAATGCCTCTGCCTGGAGAGCAATTAAGGCAAATACAAAATATGGATAAAACATGCCACGGTTTGTTTAGATCATGCACAGTGCTGAGACAAAGGGATGAATGTTTATAAGTGCTCTAACCCCCTCCCTTTAAAGTGTGTAGGTCACTTGCTCTCACTGGGTTTTCACAAGGTTTCTTTGTTGGTCATTGCCCAATTTAAATCTCTCCCCAGTGATAGGAACATACCACCAGTGAGAGAATGGGATGAGTGTGTAAGTATTGAGTCTGTTTCTCTGCAAACTGATTTGCAGAGAGTTCAAAGCACTGCATGAGCAGAGTGGGTCCCTTGGTGCAAGTCAGTTTGCTCTGCTGGCTTGCTTGGTTTTGGACACTGGAGCTGTGTTGGTAACTTGGAGTTCTTTCCCTTCCAGTGGTGGGTTCTTGACTTCCTGTGAGGCTGAGCTGCAGGAGCTGATGAAGCAGATTGACATCATGGTGGCTCACAAGAAATCTGAGTGGGAAGGACAGACACAGGCTTTGGAAGCTTGCCTGAGTGTTCGAGAGCAGGAACTTTCCTCTGCCAAGGCTGCTCTGCAGGAGAAGTATGAGGAGGTACCTCCAGTTCCTACTGGTTTGTGATGGGTGTCAACCTGTGTGTTTCACATGTTACAATGCCCTGTAAAGACTGAACTTGACTTTCAGAGTTTGACTTTGCATGGATGTGTGTTTCAGGTACTGTTTCATCACTTTGGGTTGGTTGGGTCTAAGCCAAAACAGGAGGTTAACTCTAGCAGATAGCTGTGCAAAGTGAAACAGGAGCCTGGTTCATGGCTGGAAATTAGGAACAATTTACAAAGGAGCCTGTTGGACCAAGGTGGCTGATTCCTAATTCCATCAAAGTCAAGTGATCAACTCCCTAAAGGCTGGTGGAAGTCCACACAGAGTTGCTAGAGAGAACCCAGGGACACTGAATCTGGCTACAAGAATAATCAACAGCCCAGCAACCTGCAGAGAAAACATTTGATGGTGTGAACTACACCAAGATGTTCTCCAAGGGCTCTTTTATGCAGCTCAGGTTTTGCAGCCTTTAATTAAAGGCCTGCTGGAAGTGTAAAAAAAATGTATTGTTGGAGAAGCATCAGGAAGTGAAGTCTGTGCATGTAGGATGTTGTCAAGGTTTAGAGATGTGGACTATAAACTTGTGCAAAAGAACTGATGTATCTTTTCTTGGATCAGAGGGATCCATCAGGAGGTTGAGTGGCTGTATCTTAAGATGTAGCCACACTGACATGTTCTGAAAGTGTCTGAAGTTTGTCCTTACAGTTTATAGCTGCTGTGTCCTGTCTTTCAGCAGACTTTGCTACAGATTGTGTTCTGGCAGCTCACTGATCAGGTTGCTTTGACTTCTTCAGCCAAAAGCCAGCTGATAACTGCAGAAGCAGTTTGGGTACCTGTACAACTGCATGACATCCTCAAAATTATACAAGTACTGCTGTAGTTATTAGTAATTTGGTGTGGAATTCAGTAAAATTAAGAAATAGAGAGGTTGTAGCATCAGTGGGTTAAGAACTCTGTCATTTAATATAATTTCAGTAGGATAAGGTGGTTCTAAGGGTCCACAGGGCAGCTTTTGGATTTAATGTCTTTGTTACAGAGTTACTAAACCTGGAGTCATGCCACAGGATTTTCATCTGCAAGAATTGTGATTTTTATCATTGTTATTATCAATTGTGTTTCCTGAAGACACGTTTCAGATATTTCCTACCACCAAAAGCAAACATTGATTTAAAAGCTGAACTATAAAGTGTGGTTACTGTCAGTACTGGAATGTTTTTATGCTTTTGGTTTACTCATATGGATTTTCTGTGGTGATTTATTTTAATTGTAATTTGCTGGCTTTCTGTCCTTTGGAGCTGCAGTTAGAAAAGTGGCCACTCTGGGTTATGAATGGGAAAAAGATGGAGGTGAAAAAACAAAACAAAATGAAACCAACCAAACAAAAAATGCCAAAAATGAGTCACAGGAGGAGGTGAATCAATGTAAGGGAAGTCTTTCCCATGAGTTTCAAAGCCTTATTTCTTTCTTTGTCCCTCTCATCTCCATGTGTTACTTGGAATCTCTGCCTCACCTGAGTGTAGGAAGGTGACACGACCATCTTTGCTCTTGGTAGATAGCTTGAAATCATAGTGCATGTTATGAAAATTTTGATGAAAATACCATGGAGAAATAGCCTTTCAACACAAGTTCAAACTCTCAGCTTCATCCCCCCAAATGAAAGCCAGAAACTGCCTCAAAAGACCAGAGCAGAAACAATTCTGGCCTACCAAAGATTGAGGCGTGGAGTTCATCTGACTCATAGTGAGTGACCCCATTGAAATGTGCAGTTGTTAAGAGGATTAGAATCTTTTAAAGGTCATTTACCACTTCTGCTGTAATGTATGCATATGAAATGAAAACTAATTGTAGTATGTAATGACAATGAAGTCCATCTCTATTGTTTCAATTTGCTTTTTGACTCTTCATTCAGGTTGCCGCGTTGCGTCGCCAGGTCGAGGAGGTGGAAGAGGCCAAACAGGACATGGTTAAAGAATATGAACAACAGCTGAAGAAATTTCAAGAGGAGGTGAGCTGCAAAAAGAGAAGATTGGATTTTAGTTCCCAGTTGATCTGATAGGATCAGATAAGTGAATATCTGATCTGTCCAATCTGATAGGTGCATTTGTGTCATTGCTTTTAAGTGCCACGGCTTTAAAACTTCCCATTCTTTTAATGTTTATGTCCTTACAAAGAAGAGCAAAGGAATATTTTTATGCTTCATCAGGCCTGTGTTTTGCACTTTGGAGGAACTTGGTGATGAACAGAAAACTGTTGAGTAGATGTGTAGTAGCTATACTGTCACAGTTTTCATGTGCTAAGACATCTGTAGAAGTTGACTGCAGAAATGTCCTGCTTGCTTGTCCTCATCACCATAGTGCTTATTCTGAAGTTGCCATGGGTACAGGCAGCACCAGTTTGCTCTTTCAGCATTTCCTGAAATTAAAAAAGGGGGGGGTGGTGTAGCTGGCCCAGACTGTATGAGATCAAGAAATGGGAATGCTGTGTTGTCTCTCTTTGCCTCTGTTGACTCTGATGTTGCTGGTAAGAATTTTGTTCTCTTGAGTCATATTAGACTTAAGACTTGTAATAAAAACTAAATATACTTAGAAAACATATTTTTAAAAGCATTTAATAGCTTTCATCTCAAGCTTCTTACCAGAAGGTAGTCCATGTGGAATGTCCTGCAGATAGTACAACAACATTCCATCTTTATGCTTGAAGTCTGTGTGTCTCCACTTGCTTGCCAGTGGCAGTGGGTTAAATGGCATGGACAGCTAGTAGAGCATTGACCTGATAGTCCACTGTAAACTATTAAAGTGAATTTAATTTAGTAGTCTCTACTTTGACAACAGAAGGCATCTGTCCTCATTTAAAACACTTTACTATCCCCTATGACTAACAGTCTTCATTCACTAGATGTTCCCACTGGAATTGTGGCTGAGCTGCAAAGCAAAGCTGAGGTGGGTTGGCAGATCTGCCTGAATTGCTAAAATACAGTGTGTGTGTGTGTGTGTTGTGGCCAAAATGGCAATGTGCTGGTATTTCACCCACGCAGCAGAAATGTAGGTGATGTTAAGCTCCAGTATTCCTCAGCCATCTGCTCTTAGTGTGGTTTGGGGATATTCTTTGTGTGTTGGTTTACCACCAGTGCCAGTAAAATCACAGGTATGGTGTCTAACTCACTGAGGCTGTTGAAAGAATAAAGCTGTATTTGTAATCTCCTCATGTCTGTTAATGCTCAGCCTGTACCTCTGCCTGTTCCCACTGAACAGGCCTAAGTACTTTGCTGACTCAAAGCTCTGGAGAACCTTTTGTGACCAGTGGTCTTAATTCAGGCTTTTTTTTTCCTTCTCACAGCCCTGCTCATTCCTGTGCTTATCTTTCTCCATCACCAAAATGGGCATGATGACTTCTCAAATTCATCTGGCCGCTTGGAAACTTTTTATTTAACAGTTGAGTGGAGGGGAGCTCATCAGATGAAAAATTCTGTTTGAGCTGCAGGTGATTATTTGCACAGAGGGTCACTGAAATGTCAGGAGTTTTTTTTTTTCCTCATTCATGCTTCTGATAGGACTTCAGCATTCTAGCAGGAGGCGTAGGAGTGATATTTTCTGTTGGCATTCTCCACTCATTGTGAAATACACAGTGTATCTCAGCAGAAAATGACAGATGAAGTAGTGTGGATATTAAGTATAATGGCAATTCTGGAATCTTCCTTCTCCCACTAGGCAGAACAGTCGTGGTGGGACACAGGTCTCATCAGAGCTGCTGGTGTCACAACTTCCATGGCATCTTCCTACTCTTGTACAACTGGGTGTATTTTGCAGTCCTGTTGGTATAACAACCTCATTGCACAAATAAAAGTCTTGGCTTGCATGCTGTGTGGCCTTGATGAGGGGAATGGTTTGTGTGAAGCCATTTTGTGTGCCTGCTTTCAAAGCACTGTTTAATTCTCACCTCTTGGGACCTTGAACAAAGTTGCCTCTTTCACTGTATTCCTTGCAGTTGTCCAGGCTGAGGAGGAGCTATGAGAAGCTGCAGAAGAAACAGCTAAAAGAAGCTAGAGGAGAAGGAAACAAGAGGCCAGGGGAGGACCAGTTGGAAATGAGCCGACTGACCAGGAAGCTGGAGGTAGGCAGTGGAAAAGCAAGTGCTAACCAGAGTGGGCATGCAGGAACTGACCTTCTGGGCTTCACTGGTGACTGAGTACTCAACCAGGAGGTGAACTATGAATCCTGCTTAAAAATTACTCCCCATCTACACTCCAGGTGTAGCTCTTCTCAAACTGCTTGTATAACAAAGGCAGTTTCCTACACTGGGGCCTCATGAGTACACAGGATAGATGATGCTGCTGTTCTTAGACTAAATAAAAGGAAGAAAGTGCTGGAAGACTGTTTAATTCTGTGAATGGAATGAGTTTCAGTGTGCTGAGGTTGTCACCTCACTTCTTGGAGGAGGAGGAGAGAGCTACATGTCAAACTTCTCATCTTTTAATCTTTCTGCCACGCTGAGCTCAACCACACTCAATTTTCTTCTCCTCCACCCTGCAGATGTGGCTAACAAACACATCTGACTGATGCAGTGTCCCATTTCTGGAGTGGAGATGAACGTCAAAATTCTGTAGCTCATACTTGTCATCTTGGTGATTTCCATAGCAGCATGTTTTGGAAGCTCAAGGCAGTCTGAATTGTTAAAAGCTCTGACAGCAAATCTATGAAACTAGCCATGAATCTGTTAGCACTTAGCATCTGTAAACAGCAGTCATTGACACTGATGTTTTAACTCAGGAGGGAAAGAAATACAGCAAGCACAGTGTGTGAGGGGTTTTATACTGCTGAGCTGCTGCATCAAATGACTGCCTAATGGTTCCCCTGCTGTGGGGAAAGGTGCATGAGGCTATGGTGGAGAGAGAAAGCCAAGATGGATAGGAGCTAGAGGAGGGGGGAGGCTTCTTGTCAGCTGCCTGGACAGTGCAGCTCTGAGCCCCCCCTGCTGTTCCTGCAGGAGTTTCGTCAGAAATCACTTGACTGGGAGAAGCAGCGTGTGCTCTACCAGCAGCATGTGGCAGCACTGGAAGCTCAGAGGAAGACTCTGGCTGAGCAGTCTGAACTCATTCAGGTACAATTAATACAGGCTGGAAGTTTGGTTTGGTTTGTGGCAGCAGGTGGGAGTGCAGGGAGTTGGGGGGGTAAGAGGGGGAGACTAATGAAATCTCTCAGGCTTGAATCCAGATTAGATTGTCATTGAAATGACTTTTAATGCCCCCGTGGAATGAGGTTTGCTTGGATGGTTGCTGCATGGAAAAAAAGATCTGGAGTCTGTCAATAGAGGTTAGATAAACCCTGTGCAGCTCTCCCTGATACCCCTCCAATTAGTGGGGAAGAGAGTAGGATGAAGCTTTCCCTAGGAGGCAGAGACCACAGCATATGACACTTGAAAATAGCTGTTACATCATGCAGTCTGGTTCAAAGCTGTGTACCTGCCAATAGCTAAATGTGGGTCCAGCTTAGAGGATGAGGTTGGAAAACAGTCTTCCCCTACAACAGATATTGCTGCAAAGGACTGAGTTAACATCAGTCTTCAGCCCCACCCTCCCTCCCCCTCTTTTTGGGTTTTTTTAAAGTGTCTTAAAGGCAAGAAGTAGTAGGGCTGTTGTTCCTGGACATCTAATTTTTCAGTGAGCTGGTGGTGCTGCAGCAGAGCAAGATGAATTGACCTAGAGCACAGCTGTGAAGTCACACTGACACAATCACAGCAGACACTGATAAGAAGCTCTTGCTGGGGGCTTTCCACTTAATGGGCTCCTGAGTTGCTCTTGAGTGGAAGCTCCTGCAAGGAGAAAGTTTGTGATGACAGGATTGAAGTTGACTCTGACAGGGGCTTTGTGAGAGGTTGACACGAGTAGATCTACAAATGCAGAGAGAGTGGTTGAGCAGAAGGTCTTGCTGCTCTGGCTTTGTATCATTGATAGCTCAATTGTCTGAGAGCAGATGTGTCCTTGGAGTGCAGGCTGGTTATTCTGGGGCACAGAGGAACTCTTCTTGCTGTGCAGCAGAAAAAAAAAGGTATCTGGGTAGCTTTTCCTAGGCAGTGTAGCTGACTGAGGTGCTGAGGAACAGACAGTCTGGCTCCTCAATTTCTTTGAAAAGCCCAGCATGAAAGTGCTCAATTTTTACCTTGGATGTTTCAATGCATTTTGTGTGCCTGGCTGTTTTTCTGGCCCAAGGTCGAGCTGAGATCTGGGACTAGGTACATCCCCTTTGGCTTCTTTCAGCTGACTTTCCCTCCTGCCTTCCAGTGCAGCTTAGGGAGGCTTGGTGTTCCACCTCCCTGTGGCACCTGCAGCCTTTAACAGGGGAAACTTGGAATTCTCTGCTGTCCTCCATGGCCTGTGGCTGGAAAGGAGAGAGAGCTTACATTCTTTCTTAATGCAGAAATAAATATCCAGGTAGCCTAGCACACTGGTTTCTTGGGTGAGAAAGGCTGTACTTTAGTCTCTTGCCTCTCCTGATTACGTTTTCTATCAGGACTATTCAGATAATGAAAAGGCTGTAATCAAAATTACACCATAGCCTTCCAAACTCAGAGTTCCTGGAGTGCTCTCAGTTGTGAGGCATTGTGTGGCAGGCAGCAAATCGTGGCATGTGGGGATTCTGAAGCTGGCAGGAATTACTACTCTTAGAAACTGGGTGTGAAAGACTACTCAAATATTTTGTTTCAGCTTTTAAAAAGATGGTAAGATCCTATACAAAAGGGAATATAAGAAGTGAATATTCTTAGAAGCTTATGTGAGGGCTGGCTTGTTAAATTTCACCAGCTAGCTACGTGGAAAGAAATGCCATGAAATAAAGAATTGTGCCTATAAATAATAGAGCAAGCATTGTTTGTTAGGCATATGTTCCTTATAAACTTTTTTTGTCTGCCATTAAAACAATGAAACATTCAAAGTGAGCATTCTCACAAGCTGTCAGAACCAGATATTTACTGCATAAAGCAAAAAAATAATTGACTGTTACACCCAGGTCTGTTTTTCATCTGTTTGGTGGTTATGGTTTGGGTTTTTTTTTCATTGTGCACCAAGAGGAGCTCTCTGTCCTGGGGTGGAGTTGATGATTGGGTGATCTCTAGCTTGTGTGGGGTGTCTGCTAACCTCCTCACAGGCTGCTGGCTCTCCTGGTCTAGCTTTAGCTTAATGAACAAACAATAGGAGGCAGCTTTCTTCTTAGTTCATACTCAGACAACTGGAGTGATTTGAGATTCTCTTTTCCCAGATTCCATTTCAGCCCCTTTTGGAATCAGAGGGACAACCCCAACCCCTCCTTTTTTTTAATTTTTTTCCCTTCAGATGTTTTACCTGGAATAACACTTTTCCTAGTTCCCTGGAAGGTAGTGCTGCTCACTTGGAGAACGTGGCTTGTTGCACAAAGGGCTCTGTAGTTGTTTTGGGTGCAGTTTTGATGCCCTTTGGTTGTTCTGTCATTTAGCTTTAACACAAGCAGTTGCTGTTGGCAGACTCAGCTGGCCAGTCGGAAGCAGATTCTGGAGTCAGTGGAGCTGGCCAGCAGATCAGAAATCCAGCACTTCACCAGCAAGCTGGAGAGGGCCAATGATGCTCTCTGTGCCAAGGAGCTGGAGCTGGAGAGGCTCAACATGAGGGTGGATGACCTGACTGAAAGCAATCGGATGATTCTAGAAGATCAGCAAAGAGCTGAGGAAGAATTAAGACAATGCAAGAAGATGTTAGAGGTGAGTGAAGGAGCTGACAGGGGACTGAGTGTGAAGCAGTGCTTGTGAGCAGCAGCAGGATGGCTCTTCATCCCAGAGCTCCTGTCTCTTTTCTAGAGCCTTTGTGAAGTTCCTGATTGGCCTCAAAGCTGCCTTTGTAGCCATGTGGTGCTCTGCAGTGTTTCCAGGGGTTCTTTAAAAATTCAATCAACATCTCATCCCATTGCAGCCAACTGATTTGGTCCATCTGGCAACAGTCATCCCCCCTCTGTCCCATGCAGGTGCTACAGGATGAGAAGATGGAGCTTAGAGCCACCTTGCAATCTCAAGAAGATTTCATTGACAGCTCCAAGCTGCACCAGGATCAGTTACAGAAAGAGCTGAGCAGGGCTACTGAAACTCTTAGAACAAAAGAACTCCTCATCAGGTAGCATCTGGGCCTCACTTGTACCTGGGCTCTTAAATGCAGATCTGTATTCCAGGTTCTCCCACTGGCTGATGTGTAGAATGGTGCACTGTAGTTTCTCACAAGTGCTGTGCTTGCACTGCTTTTGAAATCAGCTGATGCTCAGTGAAAGTGTGGAATCAGCTTTCTGCTCAGCTAGGTTTCTAGAGGCAGCACAAGGCTTTTGAGAATTTTTTTTACCCTCAGGCATTTTCAGTCAAGTGCTGGAGGCTCTTCAGGATTTAATAATGTGCTTGTTAACGTGGGAGAAAGTTCTCACTGATTTAATGATGTCAGTTTAGGGTCTTGGCAAGGTAACTACATATGTGACAAAACCATCTTGGCCTTCCCCTTCTGCACTGGCAACCTGCAGAAGCTGTAGGGTTCTGGTGGCCACCTCAGGAGGTTTTGACACATGTCACTCAACAGCCAGGCTGCTCCTTGTGAGCTGGGTGTCTGCTAATGACAGGACTAGTCACCTCCTGTTGGCTTTCACATAATTCTCAGAGAATTCCAAGAAAATGGTGGCTCTGTTCCCTCTGTTGGTGAGCTTGGGCACCCTGGTTCTGTGCTGAGATTGAAGTTCACCTTTCTGCTCAGGGCCTTGGAGGAACGCTTGCAAGAGAGGCAGCTGTCTTCTCCAGGGCTGGAGCTGGAGCCCCTGCTGCTGCAGCTGGATGTTGCCCAGAAGAAGGAACAGCACTTACAGTCAGAGGTGACTCATCTGGAGAACAGGTAGCTGACTGCTTGCCTCCCCTGGCTGTGCAATGAAATTTGGGTAATAATATAATCCCTGATGTATTCATCGACCTCACCAGTCCCACTGATTTTTGTAGGCTTGTTTTAAATACCACAGGGCTGAAGAAATCAAATGCTATTCATTTGGCAGGTTAATAGTGAGAGTGTTTTGCTAATTGGCTGCTTTTCACTGCACTCTGTGGGTGTTTTCAGTGTTTCAGCTGGCTTAGCCTTAGCACCTTCATTTGTAATAGGTTAAGGAGTCTTTGTTAGTCACCTGCTAAGAACTACATCTAGACCTTCTTGTGAAATCAGAGTTATAAGCAAGTCTTCCTCTCCCAGTTTGTGGTTTTCAGTTTGCATGGGAAGTTTGTAATCTCAAAGATGGTAAAGAAACAAACAAGAAGCAGCTCTTATCTGTTAGATCAGCTTCCTGATCTCTTTAGAAATGATTTTGGTCAACAAAACCCAAGGATTGGTAAGGAACTTGTAGGGTAAGAGTCAGGTTGCTGTTATGGTGGAGACAGGAGACTGCTTGGAAGATCAAAGTTTCTCTGCCCATGTCCTTCTCCAGGGGGTGTTCTAATGTGTAGTTTTTACATTTGGCACCCAGCCTGGTGTCTTCAGATGCAAGGTGTGCCCAGCTGAGTGAAGAGCTGGATGAGAGGATCAAAGAGCTGCAGTCCATGGAAGAGCAGTGTGCTAAGTCAAAGGCAGAGGTCAAGAAGGTAACGTGGCTTTGTTCCTGGAGGGTGGGAGGACACTTGTGGAATCAGCTTTCCCATCTCTGTCACAGTTAGCCAAGCTCCAGGTGGGAGCTGTGTGGAGGCAGAGGGTGAGGAGCAGAGCTGACAGAGGAGGGCCTGAGAGGATAGGGCTGCAGGTTTCTGTGCATGGCTGTGTGGCTTATTTCCAGCATCTCTTAGGCCCACCCCACATCATGCAGGACTTCTCTGCAGTGTGGATACTTGAATTAGTGCTGGAGGGACAAACAGACAAAGAATTGAAGTCCTGGATTCCAGAGCTGAAGCCAAACACTGGCTCCCAGCAAGACAAACAGCAGGGAGGGAATGAGTTTTGCTGTAATATATACTAATATGTCCTGTAATATATCCTAGCACACTTGAGACAGGGCTTCAAAAGTCTCCTAGGCCACATGTGAATAAGGGAGTTTGTTTCAGGCTTGATACCTACACATGACCTCTGGGGTTGGGAGAAATGGAGCAGCTCATCTGCCACAGGGACCTCACCCTAGTGCTCTAACCCTCCTAAAGGCTTGGCTTTCAGTAGTGGTGTAGATCAGTTGGTGTGAGAGCTTTCTCTGGAGCCTGCTTAGAGTAGAAGCCTTGCTGGATTTGAGTGAACAACCTCACTTCTGTGAAAATCTTTCATCCTTATTTTGGATGTACAGAGGTGCTGATCTTGCCAGAGATGGGTGGTTGGTTACACATTTAAACAGCCACACAATAAATGAATCTCCTACGAGCTGCTGGGGAGGAAAGAGAGAGATTTATTGTGGTTGTTTCTATTTTATATACTTGGGAGGCATTGAGGTGACATGGAGATAAATCACCCTGTGTATAGTATTTACATGGCTAGGCAGGGATCATCTGGTTCAATTTGCTGAAATGCTTGTAATTCTCAGAAAAATCCTGGAGGTTTGGGTCATTAATATTTCTGGCTAATGAAATGGAATACTAGGGAAGAAATTATCACAAGTTGTTGTTCTCTTATGTCACTGAATAAATATATGGTGTGCCTACCAGAGTACTGTATGCAGTGCAGATCTGCCATCTCAGAAAGGATGGAATAAAGCAAGATAAGGTACAGAAAAAGATGACCAAAAGGATGAAGTGGTTTTTTTTATACAAGGAACAGCTGAATGGAATAGGACTTATCAAACTGGAAGAGAGATAAATGAGATTGAAGATACTAAAAATAAAATCATGCCTGTCACGTGGAAACTAAATAGGGAATGATTATTCTCTCATAATGCAGGGACTAGTGGTCATCAAATGGAGTTAGAAAACAAAGAGGGATATTTTTACCCTCTGCATAGCTGCCCTGTGGAAGTTGGCCATGGGTAGCTTTAGTTGCTACAAGCTAATATCAATTCAAAAGGCTTAGGACAAATTAATGGAAGGAAAGTCTGGCTGGAGCTATTTAAAGATGCCATCTCTGCCTCAGGAAGGTGGAGTGGCAAAGGGCAAAGTTAGATTATGAAAGTGTTACCCAGTGATGGCAGACCCTTGGGAATCTGTTGCTGGTGGAATGGTGAGCTGAAGAGACTCTGATCTGATCAGTTCTGGGGCTTCTCAAGTACTCCTGGTGCCTTGTCCCAGCTGGCAGTTTATGCTGTGGGGAAGGATTGGCATGAGGTGGTTCAGTCACAAAGGACAGGGCTTGTTCCATACAGCTTTTTGTTTTCCAGCTCTTAGATTTCATGTTACCATGTACAATACTTTTTCTGTTCAACACCTTTTAAAAGCCTGTGGGTGGTGTGTGCATATCTTCCCCCAGCTGAAAGAGCAGCTCTCTCAAGCTGAACAGATTCACAGCAGTGAGCTAGAAGGGATGAAAAGGGAAATCTCCAGGTTGACACAAGAGCTCCACCAGAGGGACATCACAATTGCCTCTGCAAGTGGCTCCACATCAGACCTAGAACAACGGCTGAGAGCAGAGATTGAAAGAGCAGAGAGGAAAGCAGTGGAGCACAGGGTAAAAAAAAAAAGGCAGAGAACTCTTAATGCTGTCTCTTTGAGGGATCTGGAGGCTTGGAATACCATCCTAGTTCTCAGCTATGCTAATAGTTTCCTTCTCTCTTCAGCCTTTGATTAAACTTTGAGACCCTTCTGATGAAATCTGCTGATTGATGGTGTTCTCTGTGTCTGTCTTCCTCCTTTTCAAAGCACTATCTGACAGTCCTGCAAGTTCTCTGAGATCACTCCTCCTAACTAGGCTTGGATGATGACATCTTTAAAAACTAAAGAGCTGTGCATGGTTATTTGTATGGTCTTCTCTATGGGGTCTCTGCAGAACTAACAGCCCCAAACTTGGACTTGTGCTTGAATTGAGGGTAGAAATGCCTGTAGGATGTTGGGGGCTTGTGTTGTGCTCTCTTTTTTTCCTGAGCTCACTGTTTACCTCTGTCTCCTCAGGTAATTCTGGTCCAGCTGGAAACTTTGAGGCTGGAAAATCGTCATCTCTCAGAGATGCTGGGAAGAACAGAGTGTGGGGTGCTAGAGGTAGGCACTGGGGGACCAGGGTGGGAAGGGGCTTGTGTTGTGTGTGCCCTACCTGGGAGCAGTAACAGTCTATGCCCAGGCCTCTCAGAGCACTTGCTAGAGTTCAGTGAACTTAAAACCCAAGCAGAAAGGGGCAGTTTGTGAGGAAATAAGGCACAGAAATCCTGGGCATCAGGGGGTGGTGAGGGGAACTTCAGAAGCAGAACCAGCATCTCAGTTTCTTCTCCATGGGCTCTGGACCCATGTTTTTTTAGTACATTTGTTACCTTTTCATTTTATGTCAGTTTGATTCTAAATGTGTAAAGTCCTTTTGGCCTGTCTCAGAGCTGCAACTTCTCTGGGTGAGAGCATGTTCCTCTCCTGCCAGGATGGGCTCCTGCTGAGGTGTGGCACTCTTGAGGCTAGGTGAGGCCACCTCATCCAGGGAGGAGGAGGAGATCCTGCATGGAGGAGGTGCAGCCAGGAATAACCCCTTGGAGGTGGTTCATTTTAGTGCCTGTGTGAAGGGAGAAATGACCAGTGTGCAGGTTCTGTCTCACACAAACCAGAGTGGGCCCCTCACAGGGGGCAAGGACTGGGATCAGGCAGCTGAAAACCTAATGGGAATCTATCATCAGAGCTTTTATCCTGTCAGATCTGTGGGAAGGAAATACTCAGCTCTTAATATTAGTTTAGGGTGTTTGTCAAATGTGCCAAATTCTGGGGAAAGTGTTGAACAGAAGCTGGTGAGACTGAGAAAAAGCAAAGCTTTCTGGAAGGCTAATTTGAGACTGAAATGACCTAAGGTCCATAACTTTCTGCTTCAAGGGCCTGGTGGGCTTTTACCTGCCTGACTTACCAAAAACTTGATAGCAAAGTGCAAAGCAAAAAATCTATTTACAAAAATAAAAGCACCCCACAGCCCCATGGCTCAGGAAATATGAGTCTGGGCCAAGTTCTTCTAATGCATGTCTCAAAAGTCCTTAGATACAGCAGCAATGAGGATGAATAAACCATCTAAATTTAATAGAAAGTGGGACTGTCAAAGGAGTAGAAACAATAGAAATTCTATCCACTCAGCCTAATAAGGAGAAGATGGGTACAGCAAGTTGTGCAGTTTCAGAAACAACCAAAAAATAACTCACTTTTACCAGTGGAAGTGTCTGAAGGGTTGTGGGTCATCCCAGGTAGGCTCAGCCTTTCATGGTTAGTGCCATGGGCCTTTGCTAAATGGAGTGAGGGGGGTCTAGAAGAGTTCCTGCAAACAGCTCTGCTGGTAGAGCACGTGGAAGGTCATTTCTCACCCAGAGTGGTTCTTTCTCACCCACAGCAGAGCCCCTGGGGCATGTGTTTCTTCACAACCCTTAGGAAGCACCTGGCAGGGCCTGATTCTCTGATACCTTGAGACAGTTTATGGGGGTGCCACGTGAGTGTTCCCAGCTCAGGGGCTTGCATCTTGGCTAAGTGAGGGAATTCTGGGATGTACAGCTGGGGGAGAGCTCTGCTACACATATGCTTCTATGATGACACAGTAAGACACACATGATTGATTTGCTCTTATGAAAGAATGGAGAATTTTGGCAGTAAAAACTGAGATAGAGGCTGTACCATAAGGAATCACTCACTGCCCTTTGCTCTGGGTTTGTGCTGTCTTGCAAGCCAGAATCTTTGACTTCAGCCCTTCTGTATCTATTAGGGAAAAGATGCCACTGTAAGAGCACTCAATGAAGACTATGCTGTTGAAATAAATAGATTAAAATCTGAGAACCAGCAGCTGCAACAGGATCTTGCAGAGGCCAGAGCAAAACTGGAACTCAGGCAGCAGGTCTGCCAGGATGGGCATGAGGGCACTGCTCAGCAGATGCAAGGTGAAGAGCCTGAGGCTAGAGATGGGCAGTACAGGTGAGTGCTGCATGACCCCAAGGATGCTGCTTCCTTATCATGAAGCAAAACAAAAGGTGTGGGGATGTGTGGGGTTTTTGTAGAGTCATAGAATGATAAAGGTTGGAAAAGTCTTCTGAGATCACCAAGTCCAACCATCAACCCAACACTACCATGACCACTAAACCATGTCCCCAAGGGCCATGTCCACACTTTTTTTGAACCCCTCCAGGGATGGGGACTCCACAACCACCCTGTGCAGCCTGTTCCAGTGCCCAGGGACTCTTTCAGTGAAGAAATTCTTCCTAATATCCAAGCTAAACCTCCTGTGGTGCAACTTCAGCCCATTTCCTCTCATCCTGTTTCTAGTTACTTGGGAGAAGAGACCAACCCCCACCTCACTCCAACCTCCTTTCAGGGAGTTGGAGAGAGCAATAAGGTCTCCCCTTAGCTTCACCTAGACTAAATAATCCCACTTCCCTCAGATGCTTCTCATATAAGCCATGTTCCCCAGACCTCTCACCAGCTTTGTTGCCCTTCTCTAGACCCATTCCAGACCCTCAATATCTTTCTTATCCCCAAAACTGGACTCACAGTGTGGTCTCACCAGTGCTGAGCCCAGAGGAACCATCACCCCCCTCCTCCTGCTGCTCACACCCTTTCTGATCCAGCCCTTGGCTTTCTTGGCCAGCTGGGCACACTGCTGGCTCGTGGGCAGCAATGCCCCCAGGTCCCTCTCCTCCAGGTGCCAGCAGGGTGGAACTCCCTGCAGCACATCTCCCTGGGCTCAGCCAGCCAGGCACTTTTTAGGCCAGGCCAGAGCTCATCTGGCTCAGCCCCCAGCTGCCAGATTCCAAGCAGGCAGCACCCACAGCCCCTCCTCCCCTAGGTGGATCAGCTGGGCAGAGAAGGAGATCAGGTTAGTGAAGCAGGACCTGTCTTTTGTGGACCCATGCTGGCTGGGCCTGACCCCCTGGCTGTCCTGAATGTGCTGCATGAGTGCACTCAAGAGGAACCATTCCATACTTTTCCTTGGTACTGAGGTCAGGCTGACAGGCCTGTAGTTCCCCACATCCTCCTTGTAGATGGGCATCACACTGGGAGGCCTCCAGTCCATGTCCTGAGTCCCAGCAGAAGCTCCCTGTTCAGCCAGGCTGGTGTCTTCCCCAGCAGTTTGTCTTATGACACATGGGGACAGCCTGCTCCTGCACCTCCAAGACCACCTCCTTGAAAGATGTCCAGCCTTCCTGGACCCCTTTGCCCCTCAGGGCTGTCTCCCAAGGGTGTAATCTGTAACAGACTCCCAAGAGGATATCTGCCTTGTTGGCTTTCTCCTTCATCCTTACCCCTCAGCACTTTGACCTTATCATCACAGCCATCCTAAACAGTCTGTGCCATACAGAGCCAGCCCCCACCTCTCCTTCCCTTTAAAGACATGCTTTATCTAAAGCATCTATCTCCAGCAAGCAGTAGGTACAAGAGGACATGGACTGCTTGGCAATCTGCTTTAGTGTGCCACTAAAAAAAAGTGTGACACTTTTTAATCCCAGCTGGTTTGTGTTCTGCAAAGCCAGCTAGAGATTGAGTGACTTTTGACCACCCTTGCCCCTTTCTTTGGTTGAGAAGCAGCTCTGTGCTCTTTCTGCTGAAGAGATTAGATTTTCCCCAGGAGGCTCTGCTCCTTTGCAGTACTAGGATGTGCAGACTGTGGGTTTTGGTATCTACAATACCAGCAGAGTGAGAGAGAATTCCCTAGAGACTGGATGTGCACCTGGGAGTCTGTGGAAACAAGAGGCAGTTTGGATTGCCAGGGTTGTGAGTGATCTGTGTGTTCACTCTTCCCTCTGCACAAATTTTTGCTGACATTCAGCTGCTAAGAAGCAAATTGTCAAACTGTTAAAAGTGTTCAAACCTGCCTTCCAGGACAACTCAGGAAACACAGCACAAACATGATGAAGAAGCAGAAGGAATACATCAGAAGCCTGATGGGACTGTTCAGCATCACCAAGGGGAGTCCCAGAGGTGGGAGGGGGCAGAAACAGGATCTGTGACCCCCAAAATGGGTGAGCTACCCACCCAACCCAGCAGGAGGAACTGCATGGAGTCACTGGCTTTGGGCACCTCGCTGGGGACAGATTCTTTGCTCCATGTGCTGGATGGAAGCAAGGATTTTGTAGATGAAGAGTCTACAGAGTGCATCTCAAACCATCAGAGAGAATCTGTGCCTTTGGTAAGCACTTTTACAGAAGCTCATTGCTATTCAACAGCTGAGGTTATAGCTGGCTTCTCATCTGGCAAAAGGAGACAGAATGTATGATCTGGCTGCATGGTGTGTGTGAGCAGAATTTCTGTGTAAGCAGGATTTCCTACAGCAAATGGGAAACAGGGAGGAGGTGAAACCCCTGCTGAATGGTTAGTGCTTGGACAGTGGAAGCCAGGTGGTTCTTCTTCAGAGCTCTCTGGGGAAGGACTTGGAGTGTGGCATAATTGCTGTGCTACCTCCAGAAGCTGGTGGTTCTCTCTCTACTGGTGCTGTGCCCCACCTGGGTCAGACAGGGCTGCAGTAGTTCAGGGAGGGCAGAAACTTGAGGACTGGTCCTTGCTCCAGATGTGTTGCCCCCAGAAGTTCTCACAGTATTTTCTCTTCTGATGTGTGTTGCTAGCTGTGACAAGAGCTACTTCCATTTTGAAAAGAGGCAGAAGCTTCTGAGGTTTGTAGATCTTGACAAGGTTTCCTACCAAGAATAGGTCTTGATTGTTTCAAAACTCAAGTAGCTCGTGGGCATGTCCAGGAAACAAACGTTAGGACCTTAGGGAACTGTAATATCCTAAATGGAAACTCTTCAGTTTGCAGGATTGGAACTGAAGTGCCAACAGTTCCACTTCAGGGTCTGAGAAGCTCTAGGGTTCAATAGTTAGCAGCAGAGTGTGCTGCTTTTGGTTCTGAGAGGTGGAAGTAAAGTTTCTAAGGAAATAGTTCTGGTTTTGACTGGGGCTCCCTGCTCATGGTCAGGCTCCAGTGTCTTTAAATCAGCCCCTTTAACATTAAGAGAGGAGAGTGCTCATGAGTAGTGGGGTGAGGGAGGTTTGCTTGTTATCTGCAGCCTTTTTTTGCTTCCCTTTGTTCCTGGCTGTTGCTAAAAGACCAGAAAACCAGGAGACTCAAGGATTTAGAAATAACCAGTTCTGTGCTCTTGCCAAGACTGAGCCAGGTTTTCAGTAATGGGAAGCAGCCCCTTAGTAACTTTATTCACCTTCCAGCCCATGAGCAAGCAGCTTTTCTTTGTCAAATCATAAATTAAGCCTAGTTGACCATGTTATTTTTGTAAATCAAGAACTTGTGGGCGTGTGGTGTTAGGAATAGTTCTTGACTGTAAAGAATCTGAGCTGGTGTTCAGTGAACTGTGATGGGAGTTTGGTCGAATTCCTCTGTGGGATTGTTCCAGGAACCCATTATTTCAGGGAAGAAGAGGGGATATATGAAAAAAAAAGCAAAGATGTCCCCACTGCTGGTCTAATTTGGCAGTTCTTGCCCTTTCTGGGACCCATAGAAATCTAAGGTGATTCTGCCCACTGAGATTTTTATGAAGACAAGGAGCAAGGTGCAGATGTCAAACGTGAGGCTGCACTGACACGCTCAGTGTTGAGTGACAGGGGTGACAAACCCCTTGGTATTTTCTGGTGACCTCCTCTGGAGTTACTCTCTGAGGGCACAGCCCAGTCCCCTCTCATTGTTTGAAGTGGAGGGGCTGGTAATGGAGGTGAAACTCCAGCTCCTCTGAGTAAACAGTCAATTCCTGTTGATACCTCAGGGGTCAGGGTTCCATCTGTGAAGTACAACAGTTATGGAGGCACATGGAGAGCTTGTTTCTGTTCAGCTCTGCCTCCCCTCCAGCTTAGAGAGGGGAGCTGCTGGAATGGAAGAGTTTGTATGCTGAGGCACTGACTGACACCAAAAATGACCACAAGAGCCCTTCAGAAGCATATGTGGTTGTGTGGCTTAGCAGATCAGTTCTGTTTCTGGACAAAACTTGGAGTGGAAGAACACTTGATATCCTTTTCTTTCCTTTTAGTGCCTCCTGCCTAGAGCTTCAGCTGGATCAGTAGCTGCAAGATACCTGGAAGAGGAGGAACCAAGATTCCAGCGCATCGTGGAGCGACTAAATGCTTACACTGAGGAACTGATCAAAGACACTGAACAGACAGTGCAACGATTTGGGCACCAGGAGTGATGGTTCTTCCTCAATTTGAGTGCTGGTTTACTTCCCTGGGTCCAAACTGTGACTGGGGAAGTAAAAACCAGTTTGGAGCTGGAGTGAGATCAGCAGGATGGATATTGAAGAAAGGAAATTCCTCCCTTAACATGTTTGATCTGATGAGGGATGTTACACCACAAACACTTTAGTCAGCTTGCTGTAGGTCAGAAAGTTGCATCAGAGGTATGTGTTTGTACTCTCACAGAAATGAGAAGCAAACCATTTGCTAATTTTAATGTATTTTAAGTATATTTTATACATATAAAAGCACTGAAATAAAACAGAATGGAAAACCACCTCTTTTCTTGTTCATACAAAGTAAATTTCTTGTAGCCTTCTCATCAGGAATTTTGGTCAATGCCTTTCCCATCCTTTCTGTCCCAGAGTAGGGAACAAGGAAGCTAATTCCTCTTTCCTTTAGGCTAACCTGTATTTTCTCCAGTTCATTCCCCCTTGGTGGAATTTCTTCATATTCCCTGGTTCTTGCAACAGGAGTTTGCCCTTTACTGTTTGTATAGCATCTGATGTCTTTTTCTTGCCTTTCATGTTGCTTGAAGTGCTGCAAAATAGCTGAGGAATGAATGGCTGAATTCTGATTGTGGTCACAGCTCTTACAAAAGAAAGGAGAGTAGTTGGAATTGGAAATAAAATGGATGGAAGGAGAACCCACAGCAAGTGAGATTCATCTGTGCAGCAGAGGTCATTGCAGCTGCTGTGTAAGTTGGTATCAACCTGTTTGAATCCAGGCAGCTCAGACACTGTCCAGTCAAGCTGAACTGCTGCATTAAAACCTGTGACCTCTTTTGAGCAATATGTTCAGCCCTGCCTTAAGGAAAGGGATTTGTTAATGAGTGAACAAAACTTGTTCCCTACAGATGTGCCTTTCTGCAGGTTTTGTGTGGCTGAGCCTTCACAAGCTTTGTACAGGCAAACCAAGGGACAGAGACATCCCTTGTCCATGTCTGGAAGTTTCCTGTTCCTTTCCTTCAGCTTCAGCTTGTCTTGGAGCAGCTTAATGCTGTCAAGAAACAGGCATTGGAAAGCAACATGTGGATGCAAAACTCAACCATGGGGTAAGGCAGATGAGTTCAGCAAAGGTGATGCCTGTCTGCAGACTGGGGCCTCTGTCATGCCATAAAATGGGACTGCACTGGGTCAAGCAATTCTGCATTGCTTCCAAAGCATTTGAACCAGCCAATCCTTTCATTTTAGCTTCCTTCTGGAGTACTTTGGACAAGGATAATGAATCCATTCTGGATTCTCTTTGTGTACAGTCTTTGCAATGAGGTTTTGGAGCTGCCCACAGCTGGGGTTGAACTGTGGTCCTGCTTTTTTCACTGGCCTCAGTCCCTGTTGGGAGCTCCCCACAGAGAAGCTTTTTTGGAGCATGCACCTATCCAGATCTCCAGTAAGGACTTGTTGGTCCTGAAGCATTTTGAAGAAAACTGAACAACCCAATGAAACAAACTGTTGTTTCCTCTTTGCAGGTGAACTTACAGATCCACCCTGTGGTGTGCCAGAACTCTCTGGGATTCCTTGGGGAATTCCTTCAGTGGGGACAGAGATATAATTTTTAAAATGATACCTTACAAACTGTAGTATATTTCCTGAAGGTTTGTTAAGTAAGTTGCATCACACACACTGTTTTGAGAAGCTCAGAAGATGTTTTGGCTCATGGGTGATGTTTACTTCCATCTCCTTTTCCTTTAGAATACTTGGCACTTCATGTTGGCAGAAGTGAGTGGAACTGAAGATGATCAATTTGTTTAATGAGCAGCCATAACCCTGTCGATGTCTAATACATCTAACAAGCAGCTTCATTCAGGGAGTGGGCTGTAAAAATTTGATCTAAAGAGCAAAATTTGCAACAGGGGAAATGCTGAATTCCTTCTCTGTGCTGGTGCATGTGCTCTGTCTTTCCCACCTTCTCTCTTTGCAGATACAGAGTGCTACAGAGTCTCCTGTGCCTGCAGGACACCAGGAGAGGAGGATGGAGGCTGAGCAAGGCAGTGGAATGAGTTGAATGGTTTCCTGCTCTCACTGCATTGCTCATTTTTTAAGCCTGTGCCTTTCTCACAGCCAGAATGAAAATAGCAGAGGATCTGATTGTCTGCTACCCATTTTTATTCCATGGGTGAGGAAGCTGGCTCAGGAGTAGATGCAAGTGCAGGGGTACACTTGCCAGAGAGAAAAACTTGTATTACACCTATTTAATTTACCTGCACTGAGACAAAATGTTTGCAGAGCTGAGTGAGGTGGATTCACAGTGCTAAGTGATCACACCTCTTGGTGGTGTAGAGATTACTAAACTTCAGTCCTAAGGCTTGCCAAGGGAACACTCTGACTGAAAAGGGGGAGCTGCTGGTCCAGAGATAACAGAGAAGTTTGTTCCAGAGATGTTCTCCTGGTGTTAAGAGTCTTTGCTGCACTGAAGAATGTGCATTTTTTATGAGAGGGGGGGAGGAGAAGTCTTGTTTATCCTGGAGGGAGATGTCACAGCAAGTACAGACTTCTGAGGTGCTTTTATCTGGGGCTGCAGGGTTTCTGAGGCATTCTTCTCTGCCTTTGCAGTGTCAAACATCCCTTGGAATAATCACCTGGCCCTGGAAGCTTTATAATTAAGGAAGCTGGAGAAGGGGGTTTTTGTGCCTTTGAACTTGTGCCTTCGATAGCAGTGAATAATTCCTCACACATTTGCAGGGCTAAGCCAGATGTTTGTTTTCCTTTTGAAACAAAAAATGTGGAAATTTATGTGTGGCGCTTCTCTTTGTAGCAGCTTAGCATCTCAAAAGTGGGAAGGTGTTGCAGGCTCTGTCTTGAGTGTGCTACAGATGTTCTCCTGTCAGTGTGATGGTGCTTTGGGTCACTCTTTGCTTCGAAGGGTTAAATGGGTCTGTCTGTGCCTCTGTGG